GTGGGTTGGTCGGGGTCCGTTTCCCTGCACACTGCACTCCTCTTACCTGTCAGCCGCCCGCTGCTGGGCCCGGCCTCCTCCACATTCCGGCCTCTTGCTCCTCCACCTCCACTGCCCGGCTTCCTGCTCCTTCACCGCTGTCGGCCCCAAGCCTTTTGCTCCTCCACCACTGCCAGGCCCGACCTCCTTTGCCGCCGCTGCCGCCGGGCACCAGACTCCTCTGCCACCACCGCCAGGCCATGGCCTTCTCCTCCACAGCTGCTGCCGTCACCGGGCCCCCGGCCTCCTCCTCCTTGGCTGCTGAGCCCCGGCTTCCTGACCGGCACCCCCTCTGCCCCAGGCTTTATAGAGACCGCGTGACTCAAATGGCTTCCATAGGTGACCCTGCAGACAGTATAGTAGTTTTATTGCACCAACATTTTTTCTTTTCACAGCCCACCTTTCTTTTTGTGTGCTGCTCTGACACAGGCATCTTTCTTAAAGATTATTCTCCTGGTTTGGATTGAATTTTTCAGGAGCTTTGTTCTGAGTTCAACTGGTATCTAGTTGATTTTGTGGAATCAATAAAGTACCACTTTGAACTTTAGAACCTGTTATTTGGTGCCCTCTTTTGGTGAAAAGTGTTTGGTTTTAGATCGAGTAAGAGAAGGCTGAAACCCAGCTTCTTTGCCATCTGTGCTCCATTGAGTAGATTTCTCTTCACTTTCTATCCAATAGCCACAGCAGGAAGTAAGAGGAAATCCCTTCAAAGAGAGGAAAATCCCTAGTGGTCAGCAGGGTCACCAGAACCAGTGTCTGACTGAAATATTTTCCATCTGTTCTGATGACAACCCAACATTTTTGGATTTTATTTCAGTTTAAGTGATATTTGTTCACCAGGACAAATAGAGAGGGTGAATCTCCCTAACTGGGACACAACCAGCAATAAAAACCTGACAGGTGATCTAAACCCTCTGTACTCTATACAAAACTAAAAATAAAAGTTTTGGTTTCAGTTGCACATTAAGCAATTAAAAACTGACAGGCGTGTTAACCATTCCCCACTCTATCCAAAGCTAAAACCAAAACAAATTCTAATGCTCACAATTCAGTAAAATATACTCCTTCAAGGTAAAGGATGTACAGTATGTCTGAAAATAGGCTGTTATAAGCATGTGGATCTGTGCTTGTCTAGAATGTGGACTTACATAGTCCCAAGAAAGGTAAACAAGTGCAAATGGCATGCATGTGCATCACATTTCATTTTAATACATAAGATTACGTTATCCCTTTTGTATTCCTTGGGGTTGGCAACCTGTGTAATCTTACAATTTAATAAGTAAGACACAGTGTGTGCTGTCATACCTGATTTGGGTGAATAAGGGGCTATTAGATAATAGGCATGACTCGTCCTAGTAATCCCTTTCTATGACTACATGTTATATGCACACATTTTTATGAGATAGGGAAAGATCTCTTCAAAAAGCTCCTGAAAGCAAGTCTAATCTGCAGAGGTATGGAGGAGGGTTTAATACATTACAAAACCCTGGTATCTGGCAGCTCATCCCCCTGGTATGCAGAGTCACATTCCTCTGTAATGAATGGTCCTACTATCATTCCTCTACAATGGAGCGACCAACTCCTCAAATTGTTGGTTTGGTTATCACCAACCTGCCTGACAATATGTTCATGCTTAGTTGTATGATGTCTTTAAAAGGTTAGTCCACCCAAACCAATAATTTAGTTTTTGTTAGATGCTGCGGACTAAGCCACTAATGCACCTCTCATGGACTGCAGTGCTGACATCACTGTTATTTTATTTCTTTATTACAGGTATTCATATAGCCCTGACAATTTAGGCAGCAGTTTCTTGAGTTTCCAGGCCAGAACACTTGTATGGTCGAGTGGTGAGGAGAGCCACTCGGCCAGGATCTGACAGCCGGCGGCTCTCTCTGTCTCCTTACCACTCGCCCATCCTGAAGTGACAATGCTCTCACCCCCCGCCGGCTTCAGCATTTCATTTCTCCTCGGATCAACACTACCTCAGCACATATAGGCGGGGAGAGCAGCGGGGATCCAAAAGAAGCTGCAGGCTGTGCCGCCCTTCTGTGTGTGGCCGATTGGCTCAGGGCGGAGAGCGGAGGATCAGTAAACATCAGTGATATTTACCAATCCTCTGTGCGCAGGACAAACACTGCAGTGATCAGGTAAACAACTGGGGACACATGGTACTATGTGTGCTCAGTTATGAATGAATAGGAAGTGCTTTAAATCACTTCCTGTTCATTCATTAGTTTCTGAATGGTTATTAGCACTCACTATAGAGGCTTCTATCCATTCATAAAAAGGATGATATCACCAGTTTCTGGATGAATGGGAAGCCTCTGTACTTTCCATTCATTTAGAAAAGAGGCTGCAGACAAAGTGACTCTGTTCTCAATTTCTTTTTCTATTTCAAAAGGAAAATGTCAGGAGTCTGTTTAGACCCCCGATATTTCCCCAAAGCCCCCCAACAGTAAAAAAGAAAAATCAAATTTAAAAATTAAATAACAAAAAAAACATCCTGGAGATGGGGCACATGACGTCACATGACGCTGCGTTTGCCCGGTGTTGAGTGACATTGGGGGGGCACAATTTTTTGTTCTTGCCTCAGGCGCAAAAGGAGCTAGCTACGGCCCTGGCTGACTTCCATCTACTTATCACTTTCAACAACTTCCTAGATTTCCAGTGTGCTTTGTGTCTCTTTCCCTGCTGCTTGATGTGAGGCAATCTTGATTTCTCAAGACTACATATCCCATCATTCTTCCAGCAAGAAATCATAATGTTACATTGTGGAAAGTTCAGATGATGAATAGTAGTTCAAAAAGCAGACTATGTGAGAGTTGCGACACAAGAAAGTGCATATTCACAGGGCTTAGTAAAATTGTGTCAGTGTATTGAGGAAGTACATCCTATGGGCATCTTCAATAAGTACGTTTACAAAGTTCTAGATCATTATGGTTATTAGGAGTGGGATAGAACTTATGGAAATTCAATGTGGAAATACATCATTTTGTTTAGCTTTTGACCATAGATGCCATTTAAAGCAGAAGTAAAGGGGAAAAAGAAAAATTGCTGGGAGGTAGTACACTGTACAGCAGGGGCGTAACTAGAAATCACAGGGCCCCATAGCAAAATTTTGTATGGGGCCCCGTGATTGCTAGTTTTGCCACTTGCAGAGCCCACCGGAGAGTTATCCTTCAGAGCCCACCATAGACTCTCTATAGTGGGCTGTTTCGCCTTTGGGTGGCCACTGATTTCACTGGCGGTATGATTTTTTCTGTTTTTTTCCTTATTTTCTCTATTTTTACATTTTTATTTTTTTTTTCATTTTCAAACTTCCCGCCGGCTCCGCCCCCCTGAAATCCCATACTTTCCTATGGGCATGGTTCCCACCCAGGCGTATTTCAGCGCGTAGAAACGCACTGAAAAATGGCCTGCGCCCGAACAAGTACAGGAGCTTCTTTGGGGCGTTTTTCAGCGCGTTTCCATTGGTATTCCCGAGTGTGGATCGGGGTTAACAAAACGGTAACCCCGAGCCACACTTGGGAATACAGAGTACAGGTCTTACCTTGTCCGCGAACACCGCTGTGTCCTCCGGTGGCATCCCGACTTCCGGGTTCCGTCCCTTGCGAGCGGCCGCGTCGCAGGGGGGGGCGCAGCCGGCGGGAAGTTTGAAAGTGGAAAAAAAATAGAGAAAATAAAGAAAAAATTTTAAAAAATCATACCGCCAGTGAAATGTGTGTTTCACTGAACGAAAAAATGTGCTAAAAAACGCGGGGAAAGAAGCAAAAAAAAAACAGCTGAAAAACGAGAAGAAAAAATACGCCCAGGTGTGAACCCAGCCTAAGCTCACTCCTGTGATGATGTGATCACAATACAAATTAGTAAACTATACGTGAGATTGTAGTCCATCACAGGAGTGAGCTTAGAGCGGTGACTACTTTACAACACACACAGGGACCATGTGAAAAATAAGTAGCCACCCTCCAAAAGGAAGGACAGTGTCAGCACAAATTCAGAGATGCTTTGAGGATCTACAGCCGAGTGATACACAAATAAGATACAGTTTTGTTAATAGTTTGGGTACTTGAACGCTTTTTTAAGATTTAACTCCTGAGTTTAGTGTCACTTTAGTTCACATTATAATAAATGCTGTGGTCTTTTAGCCCATTATTTGAGTCTCTCTCCCCCTGTTTCAGGTTCAGGTTATACAGGTGAAACTCGAATAATTAGAATATCGTGCAAAGTTCATTTATTTCACTAATGCAACTTAAAAGGTGAAACTAATATATGAGATAGACTCATTACATGCAAAGCAAGATAATTCAAGCCGTGATTTGTCATAATTGTGATGATTATGGCTTACAGCTCATGAAAACCCCAAGAACCCCAAATCCACAACCTCAAAAAAGTAGATTATTACATGCAATCAATAAAACAAGGATTGTACATAGAACAATATCGGACCTCTGAAAAGTACAAGCATGCATATGTACTCAGTACTTGGTTTGGGCCCCTTTTGCAGCACTTACTGCAATTACTTTTGCACGATATTCTAATTACTCGAGTTTCACCTGTATAGCTCCTTTGTACTATGTCTCCTGTTATAGAGCTCAGTATACAGAGGATGGGATTGCTGTAATGTTTGATATTTCCATGTGTAGTGACTCACAGCCCTTCCCTGGAAGGAAGGACACCTTGGCAGGTACCTGTCTAACCTGTCCATGCATCAGGGCACACAGGTGGACTGAATGGGTGACTAGTCATTAGTACATTACAAACAATGAGAGTGCAGAGGGTGAGGATGCCAGGAAGAGATTTGAGAAGCTGATTTATGGGAAGTAGTATTTAGGGAGCTGGAGGATGTAGTATAAGAACTGTGATAAGCCTGGATGGAGGAGGTGATGGAGATGGAAGGGGCAGGACACTTTCTAGTAATGACATGTAGCTCTGGGAGGAGCGCTGAGCACGGACACTATTAGTAGCAGGGATTGACGATCGTTCGCAGACAACTTCTCCAGAACACACCATGATGAGGACGATCTGCTGCCTGCTGGCTCTTCTCCCCCTCGCCATCCACTCTGCACCCCCCAAATCTCAGGAACCCTCCGACATCCCAACTAACAGCAGAGCAGCCAGACATGCAGCCAGGCTAGCACTTCAATTCCTCAACTACCAGTCCGCATCTCCCCATCAGCTGCTGGAGGTGACAGATGTCAAGAAAGCCACCTTACTGGTAAGTGACGACCATCATCAGCGCTGACATTAGCCCATCTCATGTTGCTGCTTCACTTTTCCTTCTCTGCTTAGTAAGACTTTGTAATAAGGTGCAGGCGTGTTTCTTGGTGCTACTTGTGCACTGTGCGAGTGCTTGTGATGCTGCATGAGATCCCCATCCAATATTGTCATGTTAAATTGGCACTAAACTCAGGAGTTACATTGAAAACATGCATTCACATACCCTATTAACATCAATGTATCTTATTTGTGTATCACTCAGCTGTAGATCCTCAAATTATCTCTGAATTGGTGCTGACACTCAGTGCCCGTGCTAGGATTCTTGCCTACCGAGGCAATGTGCATTTTTGCGCCCACCGAACCTCCTTCCCCCCTCCCCGACCCCCTGTAGCGCTGGCCCTGCTTGGGAGGGAGGAGCTCCAGGTGGGGTCCTAATTTAGCTGGCCGGCGACTGCCAGAGGTGCTGCGCGTGTCGGGATCCTCTGGCAGTCGCCGGCCAGCTAAATTAGGACCCCACCTGGAGCTCCTCCCACCGGACCAGCGCTGACTCGCCGCTGCTCTCCCGCACCCAAGGTAAGTGGGAAAAAAAAACATAGCGCAAGCATCTGGGCATTTTGGCAAGTACAAGTACTTGTCAAAATGCCCTGTTTTTTCAGCCCTCACCCTGCATCGCCCTCAGGCGGCCCCCTGACTTGCCTTGCGGTAGCCCCGGGCCTGCTGACACTGTCCTTCCTTCTGGAGGGTGGCTACTCTTGTTCCCCATGGTCCCTGTGTGTGTAGTAAGGTAGTCAACACTCCAAGCTCACTCCTGTGATGGACTACAATCTCATGTTTAGTTTACTAATTTGTATTGAAATTGTAGTCTATCACAGGAGTGATCTTGGAGCAGCGACTATTTTACACACACACAGAGACAATGGGGAACAAAAGTAGCCACCCTCCAGAAGGAAGGACAGTGTCAGCACCAATTCAGAGATGATTGGAGGATCTACAGCTGAGTGATACACAAATAAGATACATTGTTGTTAATAGTTAAGGTACTTGAATGAATATCTAAGATTTAACTTCTGAGTCGAGTGTCACTTTAAGTGTCCTGGGGTGCCATTATTTGTTAATGGCACCCCAATGTACGTAGCTATCACATGCACATTGTTTTGCACCACACCGTGATTTGAAAGAAAAGTTATAGGCACTTCTCTCAGTGAATGGGCTGCCCTATCACAGCGCATCAAAACCCTGCTAAAGCATTTTTAGCCCCATAGACTTCAAATGTAACATGCATTTTCTTGCGTTTAGCACATGAAAACACATTGGGGGAATTGATCAAAACTGGAGCAGACAAATCTGGATCAGCTGTGCATGGCATAACGCATGAAAATGCAACAAAAACTCACTAGAACCTCAGGAAAATGCAGATGCACACATGTGAATAGACACTAAGGGCCTATTTAGATCCTTGCTTGCGTTATAGGCAGGTGCATTGACGTGCATCAACTTGTACTTGCTATGAGTTGACATGCGTTTTGACGCGCGTTGACACACATTTCCAATGGGCTTTTGAATTTATCATTTGGAGTAGATAGGGTTACCAGCCATTGACCAAGACTTGTTAATACCTGTTGTCAGTGCACCAAAAACACATGTTATTTGCACTACAATTGACATCTAGATTCATGTGCTGCCATTGGTTTCTACAAGCCTCCCAATGCACTAAAACAGAAGACACACATGCGTTTTAGCAGGTTACAATGTGTGAGTTAAAGATGAACTCCAGGATGTGCAAAACTTAACCCTTGCAGTGGGGCTAACCCCCACACTGCAAGGGTTAACTGCTCATTTTGGTCTATGGGCCACATTAAAGAAAATATCCTCACTTGATCCTTAGTCCTGCGGCAGTCAGTGCTCACCTCTCTCCCCCTTCACTCCGGCTGTGGTATGCCCCTTGGTGTCCTCACATCTAATGCAAGTGAATGGACCTGCATTAGACGTGATGACGTCATGGGTCCTTAGACCGCTGGAGTCCAGCGGAGAAGAGGCTGCAGAGACCGGTCTAGCTGCCAGGCAGGATTGAGAATCAGGTGAGTATATCTTTTTTACTCCATCCCCTAGACCAGTGGTTCTCAACCTCTGAAACCTTAGGACCCACATTTGTTCTTGGTCACTAAGTCATGACCCAAGTCGCACCGCACTGGAATGCATGGGATTGCAGTTGTGTCGATTAAACTATGGGCAGGTGTGTTTGGGGATGCCATTCAAATGCATTGCTTGTAAAGCTCCCTTGCGCGCCCTGTAGAGGTTCCAGATGCCAGAATGTGACGCCACTCCAGCCCAGGCACCTCTACAGGGCACACGAGGAAGCCGTAAGCATTGCATGTATGGATGAAGCTCCCTTTCACCTAGCACAATGGAAGGCATGCAGTGACCCACTGAACACGGGCTTGGAACCCACTTTTGGGTCACGACCCACCAGTTGAGAACCACAGCCCTAGACCAAAATGAGCAGTTAACCATTGCTGTAGGGGGGTAGCCGAACAGCAAGGGTTAACGTTGGCACATCCTGGAGTTCTGCATTACCACACAACAGTGTAAATGATCCCTTTATGAGGTATAATACTAATATTCCTCTATTATTCCATACTGTGTGCGTTTAGATTATATCACTATAATTCCCTCTGAATAGTGAATGAGTCCACATGGTGAAGTAGATTAATGGTTGTTCTAGATGAGACGAGGGGGCCGCTTGTAACGAGTTCCTCATATGAGACATCATAATCACCCATCTATAGTACAGATCTATAAGTGATCTATAAGTGAAATACTTTTGGTTCCTTCAAAAATATGAGTTGTTCTGAAAACACGTAGGCTACATTCACACTATGTGCAGTGACCTGCGTTTTTCTGGACAAGCTAGGCTCATAGAAAACAATTGTTCTCATTGTGCCCTGTTCACACCACAACACTGGGGTGATGTGTACTGAGCAGAAATGCAGACATGTTGCATTTTTCCCCAGCACACTGGATGGCGTTACAGGTGACTGCAGTGCATCACACCGCCAACCTCCCCCACATGTCCTGTCACACCATATTCGCCCGTCCGCTAAAACTGAGCGGGTGGGCTCTTGTGAACATAGCCTTAGGCAGGACTAGGTGATGCCTGTTGTAAGAGTTTAAGGCGTCATTTACAGGGCTATTCACTAAAGGGCGAGGAGTTTGGAGAAGGGAACAATCTAGGACAACATAGCTGAACTGGAAAGGGAGATGAATTGGAGAATGCTTCCAAATCGGCTACTTTGGCCTAGATTGTTCACTTCTCCTGCCTTCTCCAAGCCCTTCACCCTTTTGTGAATAGCCCTGTTAATTTGGACCCACACAGGTCGTTTTAAGGAGTCAAACTTTTCCTTTTCCATGTAGGGTGCCAGCTCGTGCTGCCACCCTCCTCTCTGGATGTAAATGAGTATTTCCTCTGTGCCTGGGTTGTACGCGCCCCCTGAAAGGGAACAATGACACTATTAGCATAAAATAAAAAGCTGAGAATTCATGACAATCTAGCTGGTTGCTATGGCGCTCGTGGCATACTTCACTGGTTGCCATAACAGGCAATCAATTGGTTTTTCTTTTTTTGGGTTGCGCAGGCATTCATTTGGGTGGCACGGTTCCATTTAACTAAATGGTGTGCTTTTTTTTTTGCATTTGTTTACAAGAGACGGGCTTTTGGTATAGAAATAGCTTATTACAATCAATGCATTTAATGTGTGATTCCTGCCAGTGCCTAAAGCTTGGGAGTTGGGTAGTTACATGTAATGGGGAGAACGCATCTGTTTACATTATGTGTGTAAAAAAGTATTTTTAAAGCAGAATGCCGGGCAAAACAATGATTAACCCTTGCAGTGGGGCCACCCCCACTCTGCAAGGGTTAAGTGCTCATTTTTTCCTAGGGTCAAAACTAAAAAAGTTGTAGTCACCTGATCCTTTAAGCCAGCCAGCTCTTACACCAGTCCCCGGAGCCTCTCTCCCCCTCCACTGCAGTCTAAGGTCCCTGAGCAGGGCTGGATTTCCCACAAGGCCAACCAAGGCCTGGCCTCGGGGCAGCAGGGACTAGAGGGGCAGCTGGGGTGTGGAATGCCCGGGCGGGTAGTTGTTTTCTATGTCCCCGAGTCATCACGTTCTATACACAGTGTATGGGATGGGATGTGAGGATGCCAAGGGACATACCATTGCTGCAGCAGAGGAGGAGACAGGCTGGAGGGAGTGCTGCCATAACTGGCCAGACCCAAGGATCGGGTTAGTATAACTTTGTTATTTTTGAACCTAGACAAAAACCTGCACTTAATTCTTGCGATTCCAGGGTAGCCCCACTGCAGGGGTTAATACTTATTTTGCCTGGAGTTCTGTAATTATTATGTTGTATAATAAAAATAAAATGTTTTTTCTCATCCGGCAAAACATTTCTTTGATGTGTGCGGCTGTCAGAAATCACAGCTAGCTTGTGAGGGCGCACGGCTCCTGCATCTACATAGAATGAAATGAGCTGCCTGCACACTGAAGTACAACATGCCGCCGGTGAATGAGGCCAATTGTATGTATCTCATGGATTTCTCTGTGAGACTCATGTGATCTGCTGCAGACAGAGGAGACTGTATAATACAATGACCGCTGCCCTACCCGCAGCCGTTTACAGTAGGGATGCAGCAATACTGTTTTTTCAGTATTGAGTAGGAGTACCGATATTTTTTTTCCCGGTACCCGCCAAAACCGAATAACGTTACCGGCAGTCCCATTAGGAAAGCCGGGTGGCGTGTAATGACTCGTCGCCTAGCTTCCAGATTAGCCGGGAACACGTCTCCATGCTCCCTCGTTACCAGATGACGAGGAAGCACGGAGCTGGCTTTCTGGCCAATCAGGAAGCTGGCGGGCGGGTAATGACTCGCCACCCAGTTTCCTGATTGGCCAGCTTCCCAACCAATGACGAAGCCGGGCGGCAAGTCATTACATGCCCCC